TTTCCAGGCCATTGAATATTATTCTACATTTTTGCATCTATGTCTTATTTCTCTCTCTCTCCCCCCCCCCAGTGCTCTTGTTCTAAAGCTACCATTTTCAAGTGCAATAACACGACTACAAACATTGGTTATCTGAAGAGCAAAGTATGATCTTTTGTTGCTTTTCATTTTGTTCTGTAGAACACTATAAACACCACTGGTTCCCTGAAAAGCCGTGCAAAGGATCGGGCTATCGCTGCATCCGGATCAACCATAAAATGGATCCCTTGATTGGGCAGGCAGCACAACGAATTGGACTCAGCGGTCAAGAACTGTTCCGGCTTCTTCCAAGTGAACTCACTCTCTGGGTCGACCCTTACGAGGTATCCTATCGCATCGGAGAGGATGGCTCAATCTGTGTGCTGTATGAAGCCACACCAGCAGGAGCTAGCCAAAACAGCACCAGCATGCAAATGGTAGACAGCAGAATTAGCTGTAAGGAAGAACTCCTCTTGGGCAGAACAAGTCCCTCCAAGAGCTACAATATGATGACTGTATCAGGTTAAGATAATAGCCTATGGATGGATCATCTTATAATGGATGGATAAAATTTGGTTTTTACTTTGGGTGGGCTCCTCTGGGGATGGATTATGGAATTTAAACCATGTCACACCTGTGAAGACCTGGCACAAGATAGAATGGTAAACTTTTATTTTATAGTGGCAGTGCCATAGTTTCGACAGTACCTTTCAGTGATTTAAATAGCCTGTGAGTAAAGATGATTGCTTTATTTCCTAAGGTGTGAAGTTGTCCAAGGAAGGCTGCAGTTTTCTCCCAGATGTCTTGCTTAATTTTTTTCCATTTTTTTTTTGAAAAAACATCAGTTTTCAGCCTAAAGCTATAGCTATAAAATTTATTCTCTGCAGTAAATGTTGCAGAGTAAATTTGCACTATTGACATTTTTAGGGGAAAAAAATTGTTAACATTTTTGGCAGCTCAGTAACAAGACTTGTTATGAACATGGTAGTACTGGAAATTTTATCTGACAAGACTTTTACCTAGCACTTAACAATCTGTATAAACTGTACATAAGTCACACTTGGTGAGCATGAACTGGGGGAAATGGTCAGATCTCTGTATATTGGCCTTCAAAGTAGCAAGTGAGCAGGATCTGCTATGCCAACAGGCTTGAGAGAGACCATATAAAGACACTGTCTGAACTGTGGTGTGTTTTACCAGCCAGCTATCTGTACATTTGCTAGCTTGTAGTTTTCTAAGACTGAGTAAACCTCTTATTTTTAGAAAGTGGAGGTCTGGTTTGTAATTTCCTTGTACTTAATTGGGTAAAAGTCTTTTCCACAAACCACCATCTATTTTGTGAACTTTGTTAGTCATCTTTTTTTCTTTTTTTTTGGTAAATTATGAACTGGTGTAAATTTGTACAGTTCATGTATATTGATTGTGGCAAAGTTGTACAGATTTCTATATTTTGGATGAGAAACTTTTCTTCTCTCTATAATAAATTGTTTCCTATCTTGGCATTTTAATTTAATCTCTTGTCGTGCTTGCATAGGATCAGTTTAAATTATTTTTAGTCCTAGTGGACTTTTGTAAAGGATGGGAGCACTTGAGCTAGGGGAGAGCTTGATAAAAGTTTTGGATGGAAGAAGAGGATCATTGGGTATAAATGTTTGAGGAGCCCAGACCATACATTAATGTATCACTTTTAACACCTTTAAAAATGGGCCATAACGTGGAAATAATGCAAGGGTCCAATTATTCCTAAATATGAGGAAAACATGCAGAACGACCAACAGACATGCAGAACAACCAACAAACGAGCAGTGAAAAAATCCAGCGGATCAATGTTTACATGGTTTCCTGATGAACGAGGAGCTAGCAAACCATTAAAACAAGAAAAAATAAAAATAAACCTCATGTCCAACTTGACGGATGCCCAGCTCAATTGGTATTTACTAGGATCAATGTCACACAGCCCTTAGGAGCAGGTTAACCACTCAACAGAAAGGTTGATTGCCTTTTGCTTTTCTTCAAACACAAGATTCTCTTAGAGTTCAGTGAGATGGGATCCAGCAAAAGGTATGTATGTGTATGTTTTTCTTTCCCAATGATAGCAGGTGTTCTGGTGCTGGCCTGATGACACTAAGGCATACATCTTAGGCACTTTGCTTGGAGGTAAGCAGGACTTCCAAGTAAATGTGTAGAACTGGGCCGAAAGTCTGAATTTATAAACTTGTAAATAGAGCTTGTATCCTGCAAGTTTATATCCTTTTCCTGGCTGCTGATGCAAATGGCCCTTCCCCTAGTCCATGGCTGGTTTCAGTACCTGTCTCATCCATCTGCGTCCATCCTATATGGCTTGGCACACTGCTAAAGTATTTCCTATTGTGGGAGGTTCATGTTGTATGATGTGCCTGCTAAATCTAAAAAATGTCCCATTTTAGGGCTAGTAATCTTGGATTACCTCCATACCAAATTGTTACTTTATGACTTAGATGAGGGATGGGGGCAAATCTGTCTCTCCAGATGTTGTACTACCACTGATAATGCTTGTAGATGATGATAGGAGTTACATCATCTGGAGGACCAGAGGTTCTGTTCCTGTTTCAGACGTACCCTAACAATATTGATCATAACACTGGGAAGTCCAAGGTTGTTTACATTAGGAAATCTATTAGCTTGGATTCTGTAAGCAATAGGCATAGTCCTAGCTTCTGAAATTATCCACCCTCTCAAAAAAAATTTAAAAATCAAACGCTGAAGGGTGGTCTGAACTCCCACAGCTCATCATTTGATACATGTGTAACTTGCTTTCCTCAACTTTCCTTCAGTTTCTAAGTGGTGGAGAATGTGTCGCCCTCCATACGTCGCTGGACTAAAGTTCCCATCGTCCTGATTATTGGTCATGCTGGCTGTGGCTGATGGGAAGTCCAGTCTAGCAACATCTGAAGGGCCACGTGTTCCTGAACCCATTCTAAGTATTGAGGAAATGCCATAGCCATCCGTAGAGATGATGCACTTCAGCTTCTTGGCTGAGGGTTATTGTTCACTTAAGCACTACATGAATGCCAATTATCCATGGCCAAGCTACGCTGGAAAGCAAGTTCCTAAGCACCTGTAGAAGCTGAATTATGACATGAGCTTGAAAGAGCTACATTTCCATGATCTCGCACACAACTTTTCATTAGCTTTAAAATGCCCACACAGCCTGGTCCTTTCCAGTAGTGTATTATTTCTATAAAGCTCTACTGATTTTAATTGTAGGCAACAGTGAGTGCCACTCTTTCCTAAGCAATTAATAAATTAATTTCACTTTACCTGAAGGTCATAGTAAAATTGGGCTAGAGCGTTACGGACTTTTCGTATAGGGAATGAACACTGTCACATACTTGAGCCTTTGGGCCTTCATAGGTCCAGCTTCCTATGTGCTTGTCTTGAAGTGTAATTATTATCAATATTTTTTTTTTACATTTTTTTTTTAAATGTTGGCATTTGTCTTGGCAACCCTTTTTTAATTTGTGCATGGGTTTTCGTTGCTAAGTAGGTCAGCTGCTAGGGGGAAAAGGTGCTTTTCTGATAACACTGAAGACAGCTGCTTTATGTAAACAGTTTGCATCTTCGGTGAGCCAATGCTTGCTCTGAAACCTTACTTATTCGAAACAGCTTGAAAGATTGCAAATATGTGGTTGCACTTAAGCAGAACACATAACCCCTTTTGGAAAAAAAGTAGTAATTGAAAGTACATTGACAGTGGTTTACTGTGACTGAAATACTATTTTGTTTTGCAGCTTCCTTTTTTTGCGCACGAAAGACTTGCAGATGCAGCTCTGCTTGATCTAGCATGCTTATGCTTTTCTCTTTGCTTTTTAACCAAGCTTTGGAACCTGAAGCATTTGGTTGCCTTCATGACGTCAGTTCTGGCAGTCATGGAAGCAATATAAGTCTCGTCTTTTGTCAGGTTGGCTGCTTGTACACAGTGGCTGCTACACCTGCTGCAGGAGGCTTATTTGTGATACTGAATTTGGAGCAGGCCCTGTGTGATGGCTAACATTTTGAATCCTTTTAAGGCTTGGGTGACTTTGTTCATGACCCTTGTTAAGAGCTTTTGCATAACTTGTAGAGCTGACCCTCACTTTGTCTCTCACAGCTTGAGTAAATATTCCTCTTGACTACAGATCTTACTAGCAGCATTTTAAAAAACCAGTAACAAGGCATTTGCATTTAAAACAAACAGCTTTTGAGACTGTCAAACTATGTGGTGTATAGTTGCACAGAACCTAGTCAACCACAGGAAAAGCTCATCTGTTATGCTGAAGAGTAGTGCCATCACTATAAAACTGACTTTTGGACCAAACATTAGCAGAATAGTATAATTCTAACCTGCAAAGTTTGTTGCAGTGCAGTCTTAAATTGATCCTTCTCGCAGGAACACTGAGTAGTAGACTGCTGTTAACTTCTCTCAGATGCAGAAATTCATTTTTAGAGGAAGCTTATTAACACAAGGTGACCCAGCGACTTCAGAGCTGAGGGAAATTGTGAAATGAAGTTGTGCAGGGATAGGTAACATGGAGCCCTCCAGGTGTTGTTAGGCTACAACTCCCATAAGCCACAGCTGGCATATGTTTTACTTAGCCAGATGACTATATATACATAAATCTTCATACAAATACAATAGTTCTAAAGGAAAAGTCATACTTTATTTCTAGGTGATGGGAGCAGGCCTAGCCTTAGAGGTACCGATTTTCTCACATAGGAGAGTGTTATAAGGTGACACCAACTGTAGTTTTTATATATCTGCTTATAGTAAAAAATAAATATGTGGCTGATAAATTGGACCTTGTTTTCAAATCAAATAAAAACCCTTTGATCAATTGGCTAACCAAACATGGCAGTCCTAATAACAATCTGTGTTCAAAATTCAGTGACGATCTACCCCCTACTTCTTGTTTGACTTCAGAGTCAGTTTAAGGGTGCAATCCTATACACACTTAACCTGGGAGTGAGTTGCATTATATTCTGTGCAGACGTGTACAGGATTGAACTGCACATGTTTTTGGCAGAGTAAATAAAGCATCCTGTTATGCTTTTGAGGCCATTGCTGCTCCAGCTCACTCTAGGTGAGACAGTTGCTTGTTTTGCTGCCTCATGAACATAAGAGACAATATTTGTTTTTTTAAAGACTTATTCAGTCAATGGATCAGTATTTAGTTTCTAAGTGGTAGCCTTTAAAGCAGAATTGGGCGTCTTCCATATGTTGTTAGAACCCAATGATATAGATAGCGAGATATCAAATTTTATTGTTTTTCAATATCAATAAAAATTCCACAGGTAAAGAAAAAGAATAAAACTCAACTGCTATCTGCTTCATCCAGCCTGTGCAATGTTCAGAAATGATAAGTTTTGTAGGTTCTCCACTTGCCTTAAAGCATTAGAACGCTTACCCTACCTAACATCTTTTTGGAAAATGATATTAAATATGTCTTTGTGAGGTAGCAGTGGATATTTAGACCACAGAATGTTAGATGACACGGTCTTACCAGACTTTGTGCATGGCTAGAGGACAAATTATGACACTTCTGAAATGTCCATTATGAAGGGAGGTGACCTTCCTTAGCCACTCTCAGCTAAAAGCTGTGGTTATGGTTTTTTTTCACAGCTAAAACTTCAGTAATAGCCTATCCTTTCTCATAAACACAGGTAACTGCCAGAAACAAGTCAGTTTTAGCATCTCTGTGTTTGGATGTGTAATACATCTCTTGCCAATTGAGACTTCCAGGCAGTTGAGGTAACTAAGAGGCCTGCTGTTTCTGATGCCAGTGCTCAAAATGGTGACTCACCTCTTCAAACGAGAGTTGGGCTTAGAAATGGTTTGAAAGCAAAAGGCATTTTTTTGAGTTTCGTTTACAAAACACTCGCTTTAGTTTATCAGCCTTTGAAATACCCGGCCCACTTTAATGTTTTCTTTTGATCCAAGCCCTAAATTTTAGGGTTCTAGTGAAAGTCTCTTTCTCTGTTCAGCTCAGCCTACTCTGATTTTGGTCTCGAGGGAGTTTTTCTTCCTCCCCCCCCCCCCACTTTATGGCCAAACAGCTTGCCACACATTTCCAGGCAGAAAATTAGGCTCAACGCATGCTGAAGGACAAGTAGTCACTGTAAGTGATTGAGAATTCATTTGATAGCATGGAATATGTATCTTGATTTGTAATCTCTGGAAACTGATCCAGCAGTTGCTCTTTATCCAGGCTGAATTAATCCTGAATAATAAGCATTTAGAGTTTTTATAAATGCCCTCTAGACAGCACACAAAATAATATTTTATCTTAATAATACCTCTCAAATCTGTGGTGTGTGAACTATTATTCCTTTTTTATGTATTTTATACAGAAGTCACTGGGAGATTAGCTCCTCCATATTCATGCAATTGTGAATGTGAATCCTGAGGAACGAAGTCACCGTGTAGTGACTAGTTCATTTCAAAAAATAGTTGTTGGCCTTTCTGGACGCAGCAGGAACAACTGTACATCGACCATTTCCCCAGGTCTGCAGTCCACAGTTTGTTTGCTTTGTAGGACTTTTGTTCACTCATCATTGCTGCAGTTCATAGTTGCAGGTTCTTTGGTGTATAAAACTTGGCCTCTAATGAACTGGCAATGTTATTGATGCGGCATAAATAACTTATCAGGACTACAAGAGTTGGTAATGAGGAATTAATAGGAACTCTATGAAGAGAGTACAGTGTTTCCTGACGGCTAATTATGACTTTTCCACTCCCACAAATGTGATGCTGCATAAAAGCATCAAGGCAGAAGGGCAAGACTTGCAAAATCAGTGAAATGGACAAGCATACAGCTGGGTTCTAGGTGAATTCTCTCTTTGCCATGGTTTCTTGAAACTAATCAAATTTCCACTTTGTGTCACTCTCATAGGACGCTATGGAAAAGTTTAAAGTATGTTAAGTGTACAGTTAAGAGTTTGTGATTTACAAAAATAGATTGTAGGGATAAATAGCCAGACCAAAAGCAATAAGAAACTGTGATTTATTAATGTTTAAACTTGTGACAGAAGGTTTTTTGTTTTTTGTTTGTTATACCTACATTCCAGGGTGGTAGCAAGGTCGTGTGAGAAGCAGGATATTAAACTAGCAGCTTTAAAATATTATTTATTTTATGAATCGATTCCCGTAAAACATCCCAAAGCGATTTGACAATTGAAATGTCAACAATAAAAACACACATAAAAACAATTTAAAGTCCAATACAGATACAAACATTGGATTTATACCCTAATTAGTAATGTAGCAACCACACTGTATACACGGGATCTGGGGGCGCTTGGGTGCAAGGTGACTTTTACAACCAATAAGGTCAGATACTGTTTAGCTTTGTTAGATATGGAAACAGAAAGCAAGCTGCAGCTGCACACATATAAGCAGTTATCCATTGCTAGACCTCTGTTCAGGCAGACCCATCTGCTCAAAACATACAGTTGAAAAATGTCAGCATGGAATGCTCTTAAATTTAGGACAAAGCTAATTTGCCTTTAGGGACGCGAGTGGCGCTGTGGGTTAAACCACAGAGCCTAGGACTTGCCGATCAGAAGGTCGGCGGTTCGAATCCCCGCAATGGGGTGAGCTCCCGTTGTTCGGTTCCAGCTCCTGCCAACCTAGCAGTTCGAAAGCATGTCAAAGTGCAAGTAGATAAACAGGTACCACTCCAGCGGGAAGGTGAACAGCGTTTCCGTGCACTGCTCTGGTTTGCCAGAAGCAGCTTAGTCATGCTGGCCACATGCACCGGAAGCTGTATGCCGGCTCCCTCGGCCAATAAAGCGAGATGAGCACCGCAACCCCAGAGTCGGTCAGGACTGGATCTAATGGTTAGGGGTCCTTTTACCTTTACCTTTAATTTGCCTTTGGATTGTGCCCATTGTATCTTAACACATTTTAGTTCCAATGCTACTATCTTCCTCAGGCCCAGCCCACCCATAAGGTGACTGCGTCAGGCGGCAGGATCCACAGGGGCAGCAGATCTTGATGTAGAGCTTTATTCAAGGCCGGCCCACCGATGAGGCAAGGTGAGGTGACTGCCTCACGTGGCAGGATTCATCGGGACAGCAGATCCCAATGTCAATCTTTCTTCCCCCTCCCCTTGTTCCTGATGTAGCTCTTCCCTGTCGGGGAGGGGGTGTTATTATGAATGGTTTCGAATGGTTTATGTCTAGTGGGCACAGTCCCAAGAACTGTCTGAGGCATGCTCTACTGCTGGTAAAGCATATCAGCTATATTGTATCTGGCTTCTCATATCATTAGTCAAATATAATATCTAGACAAAAATAAGTTTAAGGAAGATGTTGAAGTTTTAAGCAGCTTATTTCAGTGCAGTAGCTTCTTGGGTTCTTGTTAATCATGGCTCTCTTTTGGGTGCATGGATGTCTCTAAAAAATAATTGTCCTCTTCCTGTGGAACTCTGAATGCAAGTAGGAATAGTGTATCTGTGACATTATACCACTTCCCAGGCATTAGATTTCTGACTTTGCAGAATCAGCAAGACATATGAGTTTAGGTACAGTGTATGCGCAACCATCACACATGCATTAGGTATTCATTTGCCAGTGTTTGAATTAGGCCTCAGCAAGTGAACAGCAGGGCATTTTATAAAAGGTGAACTTCAGCAGCAGTATAAGGCTGGGACATTTTGTCTTCTAGTAATCATCCACTTGACCTCTAATCCTTCAACTTGTTTGTGTACCCTTTTACAGGTATTTGGCTTTCTGTTTGGGTCATGGCCTTTCTTAACACCTTTTCCTCTCAAATGTCAGCATTTGACCTGTCGTCTCAGCTTGTTTGACGTAAACTAGAATCTGGATTGTTTTATTCTTATTATGCTTTGTTTTCATTCTTATAATATTGAATCAAAGCAATTATTTATACTGTACTTACTATAGATAATACTTTACGTTCATCCAATTCATCCTGGGAAATAGGCAACTGTTATTTCCCAGTTTGCATAATGGCAACAGAACAGAATATGATTCGGTGTGAGTTTGTGGCTCAGCGGAGGTTTGGACTCCGATGTATTTACAACTTTTATCACAATCCTTCACAGGTTCTTGACAAGTTGGTAATAAAATTGGCATTTGTACCACATTGTATTTTAACTTGGTTTGCATTTGGCCTTTCTGACTGGTCATGGAAATAGTTTTACCACAAACTCAGATAATTAAATATGTTTGTTAAAATGCTTTTATTCTGTCTTCCCACCCATAACAGAAAGTCTAAGGTAGCTAACAACAAATCAGTAATAAGGTACTTCAAGATAAGAATACAAAATAGCAGTGCCAAGCAATAAAAACAAACAATCATAAAGTGATAGCTCATAGGACAATTCAGTTGCCATGTAACTTGAATTCATGCTGCAATGGCAGTGTTTAAGGCAAGCATCTGAAGATGGGCAGGGGAGAAATAACAAACATTCCTGGGTTAAGGAGCTCCATAGCTTGGCTCTACCACCAAGAAGGCCCTGCCAAACATATCAGCTCAATATACCTCAGTTCATAAGGGGGGGATACAGAGCAGGAACTCAGTTGAAGGGGAATGGAAGGTTCCTGTGCAAGGAGTCACTTCTTAAGATACCATGCACGGCACTTTAAAGAGTATAAAATCCCAGGCTCCTACCCTGAGGACCTTACAGTCTATAATTTGAGATAGGAAACCACAGAGGCATAGGATGGAAGCTGAAGGGGGATCAATAGGAGAAAAGAATATTAAGTTTATTTTATTAGTATAGTTCAGGCATCCCCAACCTGCAGCCCTCCAAATGTTTTGGCCTACAACTCCCATGATCCCTAGCTAAGAGGACCAGTGGTCAGGGATGATGGGAACTGTAGTCCAAAACATCTGGAGGGCCGAAGGTTGGGGATGCCTGGTATAGTTGTATCACACCTTTCTACAAGAAGCTTAAGGTGGCATCCACGTTTCTCTCCCTATTTCATCCTTACAACCACCTTTTTAAGGCAGGTTGGACTGAGAGATGGTGATTGGCTCAAAGTTACTCAGTGAGCTTCATGGCTGATGAGTATTTGATCCCTGGTATCCCAGATATTAGTCCAACATTCTAGCACTATACCATATTGGCTTTAAGTTAAATATACCTAGACTAGACTTGGTAGCAGGGCCTGGGAAACTACTATTGCAATGTGTTCTGGGTCCATGGGGCTGTATTTAAAGGGTTTGGAAGCTTCAACTGAAGCAGAAATATCACCACCAGATTGCTGATAGGAATTGATTGACCAATACCAGACTAATACTCCTCAGTCAATCTGCACTGGTTCCCCGCTCAGTTTAAGGTGCTAGGTCTTACCTTTAAATATCTAATCACCTTGGGCCTTGGGTACCAAGGGCCTCTAGGTACAAAATCTGAGATCCTTCTCCATGTGCTTCCACAGTCTGGGGCCAATGATGTTGTCTTGCAGTGGCAGCAGCCTTAAGGATTCACATTTACAGGGAGGCCCACTAGCCCCAATTTTGGGTGTTTTCATGAATCAGGCAGCAACCTGGCTTTAAGAAAGCTCTTTTGGATTCAGCTAATCTTTATATTTCCTGGTTTTCTGCTGATTGAAATAGTGGCTAGTCCCCCTTGTATTATTGATTACTGCTGCTTTATTCTGCTAGCTGCTGCCAGTTTATTTCTTTGTACAGTGGTGCCTCGCAAGACGAAATTAATTCGTTCCGCAAGTTTTTTCTTCTTGCGAGTTTTTCGTCTTGCGATGCACGGTTTCCCATAGGAATGCATTGAAAATCAATTAATGCGTTCCTATGGAAACCGACTTCAGACCAGGTCCGGGGACAATCTGTCCCCCGACCTCTTCTGAAGGCTGGGGGCGGGGCCGAATGTCTTTGCTCCCCCCCCCCCACGGCAGCATTTTAAAATCGCCCCGGACAGCGGAGTACTTCTCCGCTGTCCGGGGCAATTTAAAAGCCCTCCCGGGAAGGCAGCCAGGGGGGACAAAGATTTTCGCCCCCCGCCAGCCTTCAGAAGAGGTCCAGGACCTCTTCTGAAGGCTGGCGGGGGGCGAAAATCTTTGTCCCCCCTGCCTGCCTGCCTTTAAAAGCCCTCCCGGGAGAGCGGAGAAACCCACGCGTTTCTCCGCTACCCCAGGAGGGCTTTTAAAGGCAGGCAGGCAGGCAGGCAGGCAGGCAGGCAGGGGGGACAAAGATTTTCGCCCCCCGCCAGCCTTCAGAAGGCTGGGGGGGGGCGAAAGTCTTTGCTCCCCCCCCCACGGCAGCATTTTAAAATCGCCCCGGACAGCGGAGGACTTCTCCGCTGTCCGGGGCGATTTAAAAGCCCTCCCGGGAAGGCAGCCAGGGGGGACAAAGATTTTCGCCCCCCGCCAGCCTTCCCCTCTTTTGAAGCAAGGGGCGGCAATGGGGAGAAGATCGCTTCTCCCCGTTGCCGCCCCTTGCTTCAAAAGGGGTCCGGGGGGAGAGAGAGGAAGGCGCGCGCCTTTCCCTCTGTCCCCTCTTTTGAAGCAAGGGGCGGCAACGGGGAGAAGATCGCTTCTCCCCTTTGCCGCCCCTTGCTTCAAAAGGGGTCCGGGGGGAGAGAGAGGAAGGCGCGCGCCTTTCCCTCTGTCCCCTCTTTTGAAGCAAGGGGCGGCAACGGGGAGAAGATCGCTTCTCTGCGTTGCCGCCCCTTGCTTCAAAAGGGGTCCTGGGAGAAAGGGGAAGACGCCAGCATTTTAAAAAACCTCGGGACAGCGGGGGACTTCTCCGCTGTCCGGGGCGAATTTAAAATGCTGGCGTGCGGCAGCAAAGCCTTCGCTGCCGCCCGCCAGCATTTTAAAAAACCTCGGGACAAAGGAGAAGTCCCCCGCTGTCCTGGGGTTTTTTTAAATGCTGCTGGGCGGCAGCGCTGCCGCCCGGCAGCATTTTTAAATCGCCCCGGACAGCGGAGAAGTCCTCCGCTGTCCCGGGGTTTTTAAAAAACCTCTCCGCCCCCCGCCAGGCTTCGGAGCAGCCTTCCGAAGCCTGGCGGCGGGAGGAGGTCCGAGGACAGTGGGCAAGACGCCCTGTCCCGGAGATTTCCCTATGGGCTTTCGTCTTGCGAAGGAAGCCCATAGGGAAATTCGTTTTGCGAAGCGTCTCCAAAACGGAAAAACCTTTCGTCTAGCGGGTTTTCCGTCTTGCGAGGCGTTCGTCTTGCGGGGTACCACTGTAGTTTGATATTTGCTGTTGCTATGATTTGTTACAAGCTGCCTTGAGAGAGCAAGAATGTGTGTTAGTAGTTCTGCCTAAGGAACAAGCAACATGTAAGTTTAGAAACAGAAAGAACAATTCAGAAATGGAAAGCATCAAGGGCATGGAGGCTTCGTTATGGTACTGGCATAGGCAGATGGGCTCAAGAAAGCACGAGCCATTGAGGTGCTTCACAGTCCAAGTTAGTGCTGTGCCGAAGTCTGTCTTCCAGTTTCTCAAAAGTGGTCTTCCTCTGCTGGAGTTTGTTTTTCTGCCTCATACTCATAGTGTTTGAAGATCTTTTTACAGTTTCTGTCATTGCAGGGTTGTGAGCTTACCAGGATGGTTACACGGTCCCCAAAAGCAATGCATGCATTTTTCTTCCCAGTAAACATTTCTCCAGCAATCTCCAGCCCCCCCGATTGCTCAATCTTCCTCATCTAAAAAGGCCCCATAAATGTTCAGTACAGTAGCACTAGTCCAAGTAGCCATGCATTGCCCACGGAGATTGATCTGATTTGTAAGAGGAGGTTCAAGAACTACAGATCAAGGTGCTGCAAACTTGGGGGTTTCCTCTAATTCTGTGAAAGCTAATCACAAATACTGCTGGCTCTCAGGTATTTATGGGTCTCAAGTGCCTAAACTGGAAATTGAGAGTTGTATCCAACATTTGTCCTAGTCAGAGTAGACCCATTCAAATTAACGGACCTAAAAGGGTTGTGTCCATTATTTTCAATGGGTCTACTGTGCTGGGACAAGCGTTGGACACAACCTTGAGGAATGGAAGAATCAGTGCCAATGTCCATGGATCTGTGGTCTCAAACGTTTTTTCAAGGATACT